TTCATTGAAATCTGCAGAATCCATCTCAACATCCTCATCCATCTCAACATCCTCATGCCCACCTATTATATCTAATGATACAATGATATTGATCTAATGGGTTGATACAGATCATATTGTTAGAATTGGTTTTCAGTGCTGTGTGATCTCTAAACTGAGCCGTCCTCTGAAATACGGTGTGTAGGAACCTGCACATAGACAATTTAGTAAAGGACAGCAGACAGTGTTTTTTAGAATGGGTCAGTCTGAAGTGTGTAAAACGCCTTTTATCTCATGAAACTAGTTATGGAGTGTCAGATAGATGTCGTAGTTAAACTGAGAACTGCTAAAAACATGCATCTGCATTACCATTTTTGAACCTTGTACTTTTGCCACTGGGAAATTTTCATGCTCAGCCCATTGTGTATCAGTTTTCAGGTACAGATATTTAGTACTGAAACATTCTGTATGTGTTCCTGCATTTTAAAGGAAGACGTTGCCTCAGATACACTTCTTACCCAAGCTGCCTTAATCAAACATTTCACACAGTCGTGTTCCAAGAACATGTAAACTAATTCTCTTTTTTCCGTAGGTCTTGCAGTCTTCCATTTAAAAAGTATGGGTTATGGCCTCCTGTGGAAGAGTAAACTGAACTGTCAGGCCTGTGTTTTTCTATCAGGGAATATGATGTTCATTTACGGTTTACCTGCCTTGTTTTAGGTTGCTTTGGGCGAGGATGATTTCGCAGTTCTAATGAAAATCCTTGTTGAAAACCTTGGTGAAGGCAGTAAGGAGCTGAGCGCGTGTGACGTGAAAAAAACAGAATTCGCAGGTGATTTGCCCTATACAACATTATCACGGGAAGTCACTAAGAGTGAAAGCTACTGTATACTCTGCTGCTTCTGCCCTCTGTGTTGGTTTCCTTTTAAGCGATTTAAAAAATAGTTATCAGTACTTTACTGTTATTTTCCTGATTATAGCAGTTATGAGACTATAGGGAATAAGATAATGGAAACTATAGTATGGAATGTAATAAATCTAAGAATTCCAGAGAGAGTCCCAGGTGAAGCGTACAGTAGCAGATCAGGGACAATGGATCTGTGCTGTGTATAAGAAGGTAGGAGGTCAGGAGATTACAGGTGTAATCGAACAGTTACCTACCAGGAATCAACATTTTCTTTGTCTTGTCAGCTAAAGGAAAAGACACCCATGTGGCGGAGAGCTCTTTGGCAGCTGAGGTGGGGAGTGAGCCGGCCAGTGTCGGAGGAAGCATCAGTGAAACCACTCTTAACGTGCTCTTCAACTTTGAAATCAAGGAGGTGTGTTGCTGTGAAGCTTTCACAACCTTGCCCAGGCACAGCATTATGTTATTTTATTTGACCTTTTAAAATAAATAAACCAGCAAGCAGTAGCTTGGAAATATAACAAATATGGCTAAAGTTACCTTGGAAAAGGCACTGAAACTGTGAGTGAATGTGTTGAGTAGCAGTCTCACTGCACAAATCCAGAGTGTGAGGGCAAATATGTAGTATAGGGGTTTCTTCTTCATTTTCCTTAGCATGTCTTTAAGAAAGCTAGAGGCTGGAATTAAAAAATAGATAATCAACAAATGCATGAACAAAAGAAAATAATGTCGTTTGATTTTAGGGAAAAGCTGTAGTCACCAAGAAGCCATATGAATCACTAATGTTGTTTCTTGTAGGTACTGGTGAAACTTAAAAAGCGAAAAAACCAGAAGGAATGTCCTTTCCTTGTGCTCCAAGTATCCCAGGTTGGAATTGAGACCAAAATAAGAAACTATGACATGTGTGCTACAACCTACCTCAGGAAGATCAGTATGAAGTGCCTTGAGTTTACAGGTTTGTACAGGCTACAGGTTAACATTTATCCCTCAAAAAATAAATCATAGGTTTAAGTTCAGTAACATTCATAATTAAAACCAAATTCTAAACTTTAAAAAGAGCTGCATGTACTATCAAAAGTCATACTTCAATATTTTTATTCTCACAATTATTTTTGCATTTGAAGGTACAAAAGTTGGATGTGAATAGTAATGTTTCTGGACATTTTCTGTATATATACTGTATATTTTTTATTTGTATAATTGTATGAAAGACTGCCTTTCACCTGTTTTTTTTTTTTTGCTGTACCTGCAGATTTTTAACACAAGTGATTTAGTTGTGCTGTTTATTATTTTGTTTCTTAGATTCTAATGGTGAACCTCTTCATCTAATCAGTTCATATGATGAATCCGGTACAGAACTTCTAAAAGTGCAGTACATCAAGGTAGAGTCTGTGTTCAAATTATAGCATTTAATTTCACCTAACTGTACGCCTGACGTTTATTCTTGAAATATTAATAATGTTGCTAGACGTTTCCTGATTAGAAAATGGGAGGTGAAATAAAATCAGTTACCAGACACCTAACAGTGATTTCACTGTATAAACGTGTCCTAAAAGGAGCATCTTTCAGAGTTTTGGTGACTTTTTAAGGGCATGTAGTTGCTGCGCGTAATGGGTTACTCTAGTTACCTCACGATACTGAGTAGACAGTGGCATTTTATAATCTTTAATTTTGCCAAGGACTGTTTCATCCTTCATAATTCAAGGGCAAAACAACTGACTGTGGCTGTTAACTTTGATTTTAGACACACAAAAGTGGACTTAAGAGGTGTTTGTCCGCAAAGAGTTGCGATACGGTAGAAGCTAACATTCATACTTTTAATTCCTTGGTGACAGCATCTTCAGGAATACATTTCAAGCTCTGCAGATTCTGAGAACCTTGTTGGACTTTAGCAAAGTAGATAGCCAACCACCTGTTCAGAGCAGTAGCACAAGAGTGAAGTAAAATGGAGGCCCAACAAAAGCCTTTTCCTTGAGAATTCTCTCATTGCCAGGCACCAGGCCTGGAAGTCAGAACAACACAAGAATCTACAGACGCTTTCATTCCAGAAGCACTTAACAGATAAGGACTGTTGCTTTTTGCAGCCATACACAGCTGTCATTAATAAATAGTTACCCCTCTTAGGATTATTTGCAAGAAACTGTAGTGTCAGGCACAGGCAACATAAGAAAGATAAGATTACTGTACGTTGGAAGCATTGTACTAGGTTTGTGTACCAGATGAAAAAATATTAATGTATTTCCTTGACACCTTTCTGTGGCTTGTTTGTAGAATAATATTTAACTCTTTACTGTAGTACATATGCTTTGTAACATATGATGTAGTTTTTATAGTTATTAAGATCTAGTTTTATATGCACTAGGTGAACAGATTTTCTACTCTCTGTCCCAACAGGCTGACAGGAACGGGCCAAGCTTTGAAACCATTCACAAGAAAACAGAGCAGATGATCGATGTGAGTAAAATGGGCTCTGTGGCTCAACTGATGTGTTATAATGACAGAGCTGGGTTTCTTCAGTCCCACAAGTCACTTTCTACAGCAAGTTCGTATTGTTTTCTCAGTGTTCTTCCTTTAAGGAAAGTGCCAACACATTCCCAGTTTCATTTTGCATGTTCTTCTATTCACATCTGTGAAAGCTTGTTTTTATATCATAACAGCGCCTTTTTTACTGTTAGCATAGAATCTGCAATAAATGTACAGGACGTCAGCGTGCTTTTCTGCAGCATGTGAAGTGTTGTTTTGAATGCTTAGGAACCGTGACTACATCATAAGCAGAAAAGGCAATTAACAAAAATAAAAGAAAACAACAGCATTTCATTTGTTTCAGTGTGTAAGAAGCAAGTCATTTTCTTTCCATATTTCATTCCATTTCTTCAACAATAGTGAATTAAATTTTAAAATTTGCCAAAAGATCAATCATGGATCTAGCTTTCTTTAGATTCAACATCTGAGTGAGTCTGGATGTCATCTAGAAATGTGAGACTTGGTTAAACAGCAAGTACAGCAGCAGACTGTCTGATTATATTTCATGCACAGGTGACCTTCACATCTCTTGACCTGATGCTGCACACAGAATCGCTGCTTTCCGCCATTAATTTCCTCTCCACTGCCTTGTCTGCACGAAACCTGACCTCCTCTGACAGAGAGCCCACAGTGACTCCTGGAACAGGGGAAGAAATCAAAATCTATGAAGCCCAGACAAGTAATTTGATCATTAATCTTCCATGATTATATTACTTGCAGTGATAGTTAACATAATGTGGACACCTGGAGAGCATACAGTAAACCTAAACATAGGGGAAAACTATACTTAAACGATTGTCTTCTCCAAAATAATAATAACATGTTAATCTGAAAATATGATACGTATGATTGTGTGGACTAAGATGAAACTATAACAACTCTTTGCAGCCAGTGTGTATATTTACTAAAGCGAAATCTGACTTTCTAATTAGCCCACAATATGTAGATGTTCTAACATTATCTTATAGTTATACAAGTTGACTAAAAAACAAATATTCTATTTTTGTTAAATGATTTAGATGGGTTTAATAACATTTTGTGATCCTTTTACCTTTGTGCCATTTTAGTTTTGTACACAAAGATAAACCCATGTCTATAAGTAGCACTTAACCTTATCAAGGTATGGCCCTCTGTTGATTTTAGATTGCGTGCAAAGCGCATTCACACAGTGTGTACATATTTAGTGAAACCCAGTGATACAGTGGTGAATGGACACAATATAATTAATAATAGTGCTTGTTTTTATGTGAAATCAAACTTCAGGGAAGAGGGGGAGGGATTTGAAGAAAGCGTTGTAAAAACCCGATTTCCTCCAGTGCACTGTAGCAGTAATGAAGTTCAGTGCCATGTCCTTCAACTCTAGATTTAGTGCAGTGCTGAGCATTCCCACCTCACATGCAGGAGACCCTGGTGTGGTTCCTCCATGGAGAAATGGGTTTCTTCATGCAAACCTGGAACAAGCTACCCAGCTGTTATGTTGAAACTAATACCCTAGCTTCTTTCAAGAATCCCCAGATCAATCAACAAATAATTACCAAACAAGCTAGAGGTACCCACAGACTCCTTTTGTTTGTAACTTTTCTATTATTCTTATGTAGTATCTTACTTTTTAAATTATAAATACTTTTTTACTTTGTTTCTGCATAGGGGTTCTGTTATCATAAGTCACAGTCAAGACAGGTTTGGAATAAGCAATGGATAAAAATATACTATTTTATATTTGTAGACTAGACTACCTGTAGACAGGTATTGCTGTATATTGAACTTTTGCTTTCTGGTTTTTTTGCCATTTCTCGAAAAATCTGAATATTGAATTCTGACACACAGTGAGATCCTCTCTTTAATTGTGATCTTAAATGATAGGGTCCTAGATCTACCTACCTGTAGGTCATGGAACAGTTTGTAAAATGTAATGTACAGTATAGCATTGATGTATGAGTTTCGTACTTATCGATAGTGTCCTCCACTTTTTCATTTCATGTCTTGCATGAGACGGGGTAGATACGTTTCTGATTAACAAAGGATCAAATGCATGTTAGATATTACCTGCAGTGCAGGTGAAATTCAGCAGGGGATTGTTGTGCTGTTCATGCTGCTATTCTGCCCCCTGCTGACAATTATGTCTGTGTGCTTGCAGCATCTCTCAGTTTACAATCTGATGATGATGTGATTGACCTCAAAGTTGACACCAGGCTTGGTGCCTTCAATGTGCTTGTGTGCGATGAAAAATGTAGCATCGCAGACATTAAGATTCGGGGTAAGAGACCATCTTGCGGGAATGACTAATGATTTTTCCCTTGGTTGAAAATGATCATTTTAATTCTCCTTATTTATTAAGTTTTATTTTTCATATATGTTCAGCATGTACTGGTAGTATAGCTTCATAATAATGATGTATTATTAAATATTTGTCATAACATTCTTATCATCTGTGAAGGGTCTTGTCACATAAAACAAAACTTGAACAATAAGCTACTTTCTATTATATGGGCAGCCTTGAAAATGTAATTGAAAATTGCTGTAATCTAGAATTAGAATAAACAACACTTCTGTATCGCTATGTTGCAAAATACTTGATTCAGATGCGTTGCTTTTATTTTAGATCTATGTACTACAGATCACTTTAAAATAAGATTTAACATCATGGGTTCTATATTTATAAGGAAGAATTTCTTATCTGTTGTGCAGGTTTTGATGGGTCTTTACTGATGAAGTCGACACAAACACGCATTTCTGCCCGGCTCAGAGATTTTATCGTCACTGACGCTGACTCAAATACTGTTCATAAAAAGGCAAGTGCTTGCACGGTTCTGGTGTGAAAGTTTGTACTGGAGAAATGAATATCACAATTTGTTGCTTACCAGTTAAGTGGTTCTATTTCCTTTTGCCTTGCTAGTTGTCTTTCTAAAAAAAAAAATGAATTCCTGTTTATTTCTAATTAAATGTGGAAGTGCTGAGAATTAATTATGAGATCAAAGACTTGCCTTCTAATGAGGTTTTTATTCTTTAATGATATCAGGCTATCTCTATTGTGGGAGATGAAGTGTTCAGCTTCACAATGGGGCTGTATCCCAATGCTACCGAGGGAGCTGGGTACACAGACACCTCCAAGTTTGATGGAAATGTGAATCTGAGAGTGGGCTGCATTCAAATGATCTATCTGCACAAATTTGTGATGTCGCTGCTGGTAAGCCTTTTAAGTGCCCTAAATAAATAAATACCCCTTCTTTTCAGGTAACCTTTCAGTGTAGAATCAGTCACATCAAGTGTTACCTTATATTTTTCTCAGAATTTTTCTAACAACTTCCAAACTGCAAAGGAGGCCTTGTCTGCGGCCACAGCCCAGGCTGCTGAAAAGGCAGCCTCCAGCGTGAGGGATCTGGCCCAGAAGAGCTTCCGCCTCCTGATGGACATCAGGCTGAAGGCCCCAGTCATCATCATACCTCAGTCCTCCACATCCCAGAATGCCTTGGAGGTTGACCTGGGTCTGATCACCGTGCAGAACAAGTTCTGCCTTCTCTCTGCTGAGGGATACCCGCTGCCAGCTGTCATTGACCATATGGATATGCAGTTGACCCAAATGAAACTGTCCAGGTGAAATGTCTTTTGAATTTGAGACAGGTGTCTTGCAGAATAAAAAGTCACAAAACAGTTCCATTGATGTTTGGCAAAAGTTATTCTTGATAGCTTTAAAGGAAAAATACATTTATGTCTTTGGACACTGCCATTTCTTTTAAATTTAATATCCGAGACTCATTTTCTTCTAAAAGAAAACTCAGCATTACATTGATGCTTTATTTTTTTTCCCTACGAGTCCACCTGCCTACTTGATGTTGCTGTTTGTCTTAGAATTTATGTGCAGGAAGGCTCCGTTCAGCCGAGTACTGAGCTTCTGCAACCTGTCAACTTCCTGCTGTCAGTCAAGAGAAACCTCGCAGCTCCCTGGTTTGACAAAATGCCAGCAGTTGAAATTGATGGAGATCTAAAACCTATGAAGGTATTGTCTGCTTTTTAAACAGAGCTCCTGCAATAGTACTCATGCTACTACGACTAACTGTTGTAATGTTCAAGGAATCGTTAAGAACATTGGAAATGGCTGTGCTTATAATGCTTTAATACACAGCAGAAACGTTTTTCTTAATAGGGACCTCGAAAAGTGTTATATAAGCATAAATGCAAGGTGATAACGTTAACTCTTAACAATTGCAACATGACGTTAATGTTGAGTACATTATTAGCTACTAATTTTCTGGGGTTTCTGGGATCTGAGTTGTGTGATCTTAACATGACCCTTGGTCATGTCACTACCTGATAAGGACCAGGATTCTCCAAGCACTGTTGTACGATTTGCAATGCGGGGGGCTGGCAATATTATAAGGCTCTCTCAACTTTCCAGCAAAAGAGTGTTTTTACTGTGACTTGTTGTCTGCCTGTGGGCTGCAGTGATGTTAGAAGAGTTAGTGCCAACAGCAGGAGTAGCACATCTCTAAATGACACAAGTTGTCAGATGGCTCTGCATGCAAGCATGTTGGAAGAACAGTGTCTCATTCCCTGCTGTGCAATACAATAGTAGCATCTGGAGAGTTAAGTTTTAAAACACTTTCCAGTTCCTCACTGAGTGGGTATGCTGTATATATATATAAAAGGTGTTATCAAATCCCTGTTTTCCTGCATAATGTAGGTGTCATTCTTCATCAAATATCAGTTGATATTCCATTTTAAAACACTTTTTTAGTCAAATTCCATTGACATTTTCTGGGATGCAGTTTTTTTATTGAAAAGCAATTCAAGGAGGAGGACTGGTTCAGCCAATAAAAGCAATAATTTTTTCTTGGTTATTATACTCTTTGTACTGATGGTTTGGGTCTTGGCAGCCATTAGCTTACTTGGTTGCGTCTTGCCTATTGCGTGTACAACTTAAGAGGGAAGTTGTGTAGTAAGAGGGTTGTAGTAATATGTTGGCGCTGCTTAACAAGCTAGCAGTTCCAGTTTGGGAGGATGTGAATAAAAACATAGTTACCATTTCAAAATGTTAATAGAATAAAGAACACAGCTCTGAAAAGAGCTTTCTCTGGCTTGTTGCATCTTCCTTCTTTATTAGCGTGTCATCTCTTTCAATGCCTCTTTTTTTCCAGGTTGCTCTGAGTCAGGATGACCTCTCTGTGCTATTAAAGATTTTGCTGGAAAATTTTGGAGAGGCAGCCAGTCTACAGGCTGAGACCCAGGTTTCTGCAGTTGCTGTGCAAAAGCATGAGGCAGCACAGACTGGACCAGACATTGTTGATGGTAGGGCCCTGTGGCATTAACACAGGTGGAACACACACAACCCTGAAGAGAAGTGCATTTGAAAGGACATGGGTGCTTTCATTGTACTGAATATCAATGAGTGTGGCTTACAAACTAGCATTCACTTCCCATTGCTCGATCAAGCAGTCTTTGAAGTGATAATGCTTTGTAAGGAACCTTTTTTCATCAGCTCTCAATGCTGGGACTGCTGTGAATTCACTTGCATTTTGATTTGACATTGAAAAGTACAAAATATCAAGAATTAGCAATGCAGAATAATCAATAGACTGGCCCACAGTGTGCAGTATTGAGTGTGTCATTATGAACAACACAGAATTCACGACAATATTAATCTTAATGGTTTATATTCATGCTGTTGAAAATTATTTTTCTATTACTACAGTTGCTTTTCTTTAAAACAACATGTTTTACATATTTAAATAGCAATTATTATTTTCTTTCCCAGAGACTGATTTGCAATGTGAGTCTTAGTTGTAATACAGTATTGCACTATACGTACTGAGCTTGCCTGAATTAGATCTGTACATCTGGTGACCTTTACTTTTTAACATTATTCTAAAACTGATATTAGCCCATATGTGTTTTTTTTTCACCTTAATCAAGTAATGCAAGACAAAAAGCCACCCTACGACTACATCGCCTGTAAAAAGGTCACCCAGCTCAAATCTCTTCTTTCTCATTAAGGATACCTCTGAGTCAGATGGTCTTTTGTGTTTGGCCAGGTTTTATTGTCAGCAACTTTTGTGTGCTCTTGTTTTATGTTTCCTTAGGAGGCATCGAGAAGCAGAAAGATGTATCTAAAAAGCAGGATTCTAAAGATCCATTGGAAACTGTGAAGTTTAATTTCAGCATTGAATCCCTGTCTTTAGCCCTGTACAATGACAATCCTGAAGAGGTATGTCCTATTTGAAGTTATATGGCTTTGCTCCTCATCAGTGAGAATAAAAAACATGTCTGAGGTTTTTGAGCATAAGCTGAAGTATTTATTTAAAAATAAGAAAAAAACATATCTTCAGCTTCTATAGCTTTTGAATTTAAATATTAAAAAAATAACATCATCACCCATGTGTAATAAGTTAAAAAGTGAATGTGCTGTAACGTATTTTTAACTAGGAAATGGGATCATTTTTGAATATTTGAAGTATCAGTGGAAAAGTGGAACATTTACATCAATTTCCCTTTGGGATCAATAAAGTCTTATCTATCTATCTAAAAAAAAACACTGCTGATGTGAATTCTTGCACTGTGGTGATAGGAGTGGAGATGTGTGTTTTCCACATGGACTCACTCGCTCAGTGAGTTTTCTGCCAACTCTCCAGTTCTTTGATGTTTCCGTTCTAGGAGTGTTTATGTAACCTTGCTGTTCTGTTATGAAATGTCATGTAAATCTGTTGGGGGGGATGTTTTATCTCTGGCCTGAAGAGCACTGCTGAATTCCTGAGACTGTTCTGCTTTGGCTGTATAGAGCGCTTTCCAATATAAGAGCTGTAATTCATTTTAATTGCAGCAGTTGAGGTTGGCAAATCGGCTAGGGCTGACATGAAAAGCCATGTTGTTCATTCAGGAGAACCGGTGTCTCCTAGAAAGCCAGGGACAGGGGTCCCCCAGGGGTTCACTCTATCCCTGGGGTGACGGTGTGTCTACAGGCTGTCAGTAAAACTACACTCTCAAAAAACATGAGTCAGCTCGGTTTTGGCTTGATTGGACCAATTTAACAGCTTTGCCCTACTCTTCACGTGCTGATGCTTTGAAAAAAAATGAGGAAACCTGTAGACATGTAATCCTTCCAGGACCAAGACTGGGAGACCCCTTCCTAAGATCTTCGCTTGACCTTTCGTATTTAATATTAAAGACATTTCAAGTGTACAGCAGAATGCTCTGTTACTTTTTTTTTCTAAGGAATCTTAGAGCAATGTACTGTAAATTGCATATAAAATATCAGGTATATTAAATACAAATTTAGTTTTTAGTTGTTATCAGATTTTAAATTGGTTTATTTTTTAATTTAATTTTGAATTGATTGTCTTTAGTTGCTGTTAAATAGGTGTAAATTGTGGACCAAGAGCAAATGTACTCTAGAATTACTCTACAATATTGGTAAAATGTAATATTTTACAGTAGACAGTTGGAATTTACTCTCTGACCTTCTCTCTGTAGAAAGTCCCAGTCTGCCAGCATCAGGAAGGTCTGAGCCTTGGGGAATTCACTTTGCATCTAATAAAGGCCTCAGGGAAAATGCTCAGTACTGGTGATTTAGAGGTCTCCACCTCTCTGACCTCCTGTACCCTCGATGACATGAGGGCAGGGGTAGAGCGTGTCACTTCAAGGTAAGAGATAATGTGCTGATCATGTGACTTGAATGTACTGTCTTCAGAGTCATGCTGACCTTGATACAGAACCCTCTCTATTGTAAATGAAACCTTTCAAAAACTTTCTGAAGTTTTTGTAGTATACTCGTTACCCATTATGCCCTTAAGGTCTGCCAGAACTATAAAATGTATGTGTGAAGCCATCCAGTGATTCATGCAAGAGACTATTGAAAGTATATTTATCTGATAACATGTGAAGTCTGTTAAGCAGTGTTTTAGTCATATGTGAGTGTTATGCACTTTAGTAGTTCAGTAACTGACTCATGGATAGATAATGATAAAAACACCTGATAGTGCTCAGTGTTCCTCTGAAGGAACAATGTTTCCTGTTGCTTACATTTCATTTTCCTGCTTCAATATCCCTCCAGGATGGTTGGCAGAAAGACAGAGGATAGCGACGATGTCATGATTGAAGTGACTTTTAAACAGAGCAACCTTGAGAGATCGGTGGTGGCCGTGCTACAGAAGCTCTATCTCTGCGCCAGCGTGGAGTTCCTCATGGCAGTGGCTGATTTTTTTATCAAGGCCGTGCCCCAGAATCCCCCTGCTTTGCCTGAGAAATCCAACCAGCTGCAGCTGAAACAAGTCTCACTGCCCAAGACCAGCTCAGAGAAGGGTTTGTAACTTTTATTGATTTTTATGCTCTTCCAAGACATGGGGAAAGACAGTGTTGCATGTTATTCGGTATTAAAGGGGCAGACCCACCTGGATGTGGTCCAGATTAGATGGCCAAAGTTCTTTTCAAGTTTGAAGCAACCTGGAACCTGCCGAGAACCAGTGGGATTCCCAGTGACATCACAGACAGACGCACCACTCCTCCAGTCAGCATTGACTCACCCACTAGGCGCTGCAACTCCTTCCCCAGAGTCGAATGCCTCTGCGGATGGGCATGTCAGAGAAGTGTATCTGCATGTCTGGTTCTGTCCCAAGCATTTCCTGGAGTCACTGAAGGAGAGCCACATCTGAAACAGTTAGCAGATTCAAACCTGGGTGGGCATAAGAATTATTAAAAAAATTAAATTTTAAAAAACAGGATCACTCAGTAGGTTTTGGTATAGCCTTGTGCTTTTGCAGTGATGATTGTGAAACATACAGTGTTTCTGAGATCACTGTTGCATCCTCTCTGCTGCAGAGCCTTCTCTTCCCAGAATGAGAATCCATGCTGTTGTCATCGACCCGGAGGTGGTGTTTGTTGCTAATCTCATGAGGGCCGATGCTCCGGCGCTTGTCGCCTCTTTCCAGTGTGACTTCACCCTGCTCTCTGAGGAGGACTCCCAGATAATGACGGCCAACGTGAAGGCCCTCAAAGTTCTCGCATGTCCTTTCATTCGAAACAAGGAAGACAAGGCGGTCACTACAGTAAGCAGGGCGAAATCGGTCTGATCAGAAAACAGTCAGAATGCATGTTTGGGTTTTAAAATGAAACATGTCTCTTTATGTCTCAGGTATTGCGACCATGTTCAGTGTTCTTAGAAACAAAAATGGATCCATCTGAGCCGCTCCAGGGGTCTGTCACTGTGGAGGAAGTGATTATTAAGGTTGGTGTCATTCATTTGCGTCTTCATCATCAATCAAGAGTATTATTCTGCCTCAATTCCTGATAGTTTTACTTGGCCTTACAGAAAATTTCATTCAAAAAGAGAAAATAGAACACCTGTTTATCGAACATTATCTGATAAATTATAATTTTTATGAAAAAGTGCTTAGATAATTTGTTCTATTTTTTTAGCTTTTCACTACGATATATACTGTTATGCTCAGAGTATATTCATAGGTGTAAATGACATTAAATCCCAGTTTCAATTAATATACTTCACATCCCACATGCATTTATTATTGCTGGTTTTCCAGTGGTAGAAACGGTAACCCTCAAGCATATGGAAAGCCTCCGTCGAGCAGTAAGGTTTGGAATTGTGATTGGCGGGTGGATTGGAGTTTTATTTATTATACTTATTATGCTCCTGAATCTTTGAAGAGTTTTCCTGATGCTTTGTCTCGTGGTCAACACTCTGTACTGCATGATTTTAGTCTTTCAGGTTGCCTCCCAAGATTTATCTAGATGTCCACCTTTCATCTGCCTTTCAGATCTCGCCCATGATTCTCAACACTGTCATGACCATCACGGCAGCCATGACACTCAAACCCAAGGAAGATACGCCCCAGGAGAAGACTGGAGATGTCACCCAGCTCTGGGCTGTTCACAACATTTACAGCTGCAATTACTGGTTTCTAGGGGTGGACAGGGCCAGAGAGGCCACAGAAACCCTCAGTGAAAAGGACTACAGAGGCAATGGGGAGACATTTTCTGTCAATGTCAAAGTGGTACAGGTGACCATGGAGTCGGGCCTGGGTCACCGTACTGTGCCTCTGCTACTGGCAGAGATGTCCCTCACAGGAAGTGCCAGGAACTGGTCATCTCTGCTTTCCATCGACGCAGACGTGACGCTGGAGGTGGGGGGGTTTGCACTTACATGCTTGGAAGCATTTGCTTTCATTTTAGTCTCCCTGTAAAGATAACGCATGACAACACTGTATAATAATTAACTCTAGAGATAATTAAAATTGGAGCCATTTGCATTTTTGCCTCTCAGTATGTATTATTATGAAAGGACAGTGGATTTCTTAGGACAGTTAAATTTCAGTTATTCTGAAGTAGTTGCCTGTATAATGCTGATAACAAACATTTGATTTAAATACACGTTCTATGTTTTAGGTAAATTACTTCAATGAAACCCATGCTGTATGGGAACCACTCATTGAAAGAGTGGAAGATGGTACACGTCGATGGAACTTGACACTGAAGGTATGCTTTCCTCTCATGTCATCTTTCACAGCAACGGAAAACAGTCTAAATAAAAGAATTAGAAATTAACAGTATTTTGTCTTCTGTCAGCGGTGATAATAAAAAGTCTTTTGGGAAGGCTTTCCAGTTTATTGAATGAAAACATTGTACATTACTGTAAGAGGCAGGTTTTTTGAGTGAAAATGTAACTTGGCCTAAATGCCTATTTGTTTTCACTCACACACATGTATAATTTTTTATACAGAAGATTCACCTTTACATTACAGTTACTGTACATAACTGTCATGGTAATGGCACGAGTTAATTGTTTTCAGTGTATGAGTTCATTGGAGGCTGGTTTAATGTTAAATAGGTTTCAGTTTGCTACTTACAGTAAGTGCAAGACTATATTGTACTTATTTTTCATTTTGCTATACAGGGTGTTTTCAGTATATGGCATTGATTTTCATGGGCATTGTTAGGCTTCCTGAGTCTGTTTCAGTGGTTTGCTTTTCTGTATGATGTGTGAAAGTTTTTGCCATGAACTGGGTATAGTCAAGGCCTTGAAATATGTTGGGCTTTGTAAAATGCGTGTGCTTCTTACAGTTTGTTGCATTTAAAGCTGGGCAGTCAGCGTGTCTGCTTTTTCTGTAGATGAAGAACAATCCCATTCAGGATAAAAGCCCTGTACCTGGGGATGATTTCATTTCCCTCCCGGAACCACAGACTGCGATCAGTATCTGCTCAAAGGACACGCTGAATGTAACCATATCCAAATGCTGTCTCAATGTATTTACCAACCTAGCCAAGGTAAAAAAAATTTCTTTGGTTTAATCAAGAAGATTGTCACTTATATTAGGCTAGCTGCAGGAGGAGAACGGCATTTGGGTTTGTATCAGATTGTTAGTGTAATTATCTTCATTAAATTTAAGTAACCTGCACTTGGATATATACAGTATGTCCACAAAATTACATTCACTTAACTGTTTTTCCTATGCCGTGCAAATCCATCTCCTGACCTCCTGAGATATTTTAAAAATCTTCGTCTCTGGGTGATTTAATTAAATCAAGTCCTGACTTTATGCTTTTGTGTTATAATACCCTGGCATTATGCCAATGCGCAAGCTATGCCAAACAAATGCCAGATGCACAATAATGTCTTTATGACATGGGCTGTTGTGCTGTAATTATCAGTTAATTGCATGGCTTGAAATCACATTGTCTCAATTCTAAGCATAAAACAATTAAAATTATATTTTGAGCAGACAGGGAAGTGTGGGTAGAGTTTAGTATTATGTAGTTTGGAGCGCAAGAAAATAATTTTGTCTTCCACTATAGATGATTTCTTGGACCTCTTATATAATTGAATACTGTATACAATACACTGTATTTACTGTTTTACTGTAGACCAATGGTCTTGCAAAAGAGTTAACATTATTCAGGAAATTGTTTCCCTACAGTAAAATGTCAAATGTAAAAGTCCCCATCGCTTTTCGTGTGTCTTTGTTATTCATAGACTTGTGCTCTGAGTCTCTGTGTCCCTTTTCTTATAAACAAGCAAAAAAGGTTGTTTTAATCTCCCTTTTTTTTCTGTAATGCGTTAAGGCTTTCGCTGAAGGAACCACCTCCACGTTTGACTACTCCCTGAAAGAAAAGGCACCCTTCACCATCCGAAACGCCTTAGGCATCCCGCTGGTGGTACAGCACAGCTCGAACCTGCGAGTGCTGGGCCCCTCCACCCAGGGCAAGCTCCACGAGGTGGCGGTGGGGCAGAGCGTGGAGCTGGAGTACTCTGCCTCCGAGCCCCTTCACAGAGGAAAGCTGTCTGCCCTGCAGCGCCAGGAGAGCTGCCTCTTTAACCTGAGCATGGGTCCGTGTTCCGATCAGAGCTCTTTTCTGTCATTAGCTGTTCATGAAATCTCACTGGGCTTTGGATGCCTTTTACATCTTTGTCTGGGATTTCAGTCTGAAATTTTAGGGTCCCGTTCAAATATATATAGTACGTGTAGTTTCAGCAGTGTGACAGTGTGAAGAAAGTAGTTTAAAAATGCACCTACTGTATACAGCCAGTAAAGCTTTCTTACTGGAATAAAAGTCCTTTTCTCCCATTTTCTGCAGGAATGGGCAATATCAGCTATTGCAGGCTTGAGCAGTAAATGTTTAAAGCTACTTTCAATTAGCAACTGTTTCTGACCTAAAAGAAAAGCCGATTTCTCTTCTTTTCCAAACAATTTGGTTTAGGTTTTGATTGAGGTTTTTTTAAGATGACAGGAAGGAGACCCTGCAGTTTTCAGAGGCAGGTGTAGCTGCTTCCTGAACTAAGAAAACTTGGGCTCTATTTAGGGAAGAATGCCACTCACTGGGTGGTGTTTTTGTTTCCTGAAATACGCAGTTCCCTCTGGCTACAGTGAAATAGCAAATGTTCCTGTGGACAAACCAGGGCGGCGACTCTTCAACGTGCGCGGCCCTATGCTCCAGGAGGCTGTTTCAGTGCTGACACAGATTGATGCTGCCGACGGAAATAAAGTTATAACTGTTCGCTCACCTCTCCAGGTAAGAGCGTTAAGATTTTTGGAGTTATCATCATTTTCAGTATGACAATATACAGTACTTAAATTCACTGTGTTTCTGTATGGTACTTTGCTTGCTGTATATAGTGTACTCTATACTGTACATATATGAACAGAAGACATACAGAAAGGTACTGAGGTGTGAGAGGTATTAAACAAGTGACAAATGCTATTGGTTTTATTGACCATTTATTGCATTTTTAATACCTGTCATTATATAACAGCCTTGGCTTAGACATTTAACCATGTGCCTAAATGAAGTGCAGAAATACCATAGTATTTCATTATAAATTTTATAGGAGACTTAAGAGTTTAAAGTTTTTTTTTCCCAAAGAGTTAAGGTGGTACCTGAAAGGCATCTACAGTAACAGCTGCTGACACTGGTGGTACCCTGACATCTGCTGTAGCAGCTACTGTATTTCCTGATGCCTTCTGCTGCTTGTGCCATTATAATGAAGATAGGAACAGGTCTGATTATATTATTAAATATCATATAATTCATTTGTTGCCTTTTTTCACCCATCCATTTAGATAAAGAACCACTTCTTCATTCCATTTTCCATCTACAAGTATTCACTGCAGAGCAATTCATTGGAGCTCGTCGGCGAAGCCGAGCCTGAGAAGGAATGTCACGTGCCTTTGGATTCATACAGGTGGGGGATGGACCAGAGCGCAGCGCTGAATCTCTTTCATGTACCTGATGTGAGGCTGGGTGGATAATTGACACTTTAGAAATACTGGATCCGTTATAATTATTTCTATCTTTAAAGAGCTAATTTACGAACTGCATTTCAAAGAACGTACTGTACATGTGCTGTACACACAGTTATAATCGATAAAGTTAATACTGACCTTAAAAAAATGGAAGCATTTGTTATCTGAGGAGAATCTATTAAACTGCAAACCTTTCAATGTTTTCTTGTGCTGACAGAATGAATATGTAGTCCTTTTAAGGGAGATGTTATTTTTATCCTTTTTGTGTTGTGAGTGATCTCTATTTGCACTTTTGTGTAAATAGAACAAAAAAAAGTCTTGCTCTGAAGTACAAATCCGTGAGTGCATTTATAAATACACATTTTCCCTTTCTTATTAATACACATTTATACTTTGTTATATGTGAAGCATCCATGTTTGCAGTGTTTTCATTTTTTACTGCTAGTTTATTGTGTGCAACTAAATAAAACACCATTCCTGTGCCATAATTATGGATCTCAAGGGTACTTTTATGTAGCACAACAGCTTTGAAATCTCCAGTAATTGCTGTAGCTGAAGGCTGGGGATTGGTACCTTAATGGTTTCAGTGTCTCTGGGCACCTCAGTAGGTTAACTTAATAGTTAATTGAGCTAATAGCTTCGTGAGACCTTTAAAATCACTTGCGTAAAAAAAGATGCAGATATCCAATTAATTGTAAATGACTGCCTTTAACTTGAAATAGCCAGCTCTGAAAGGCTGCGAAAAAGTTAATTATTTCAAATTAAGTATATTGTTGCTACAGTTAAAGGTTCAGTTAAGTAATCAAGTGCCAGCCGGGGTGATAGCCAAACAGTAAGACTGGGCAGGCCCGGGAGGGAGCAGGCTGTGGGACGTACTGCAGGCCCGGGAGCTGATCTGTTTCCTCTGGGCTGTGTCCGGTGGCAGGTGCCAGCTGTTCCTCCAGCCTGCAGGGAGACTCAAGGGCCAGTACAAGGAGTCCACCACCTACATTGCCTGGAAGGAAGAGGTGCACCGCAGCTCGGAGGTCTGCTCTGTGCTGCAGTGCCCGGCCAGCGACTGCAGCTTCCGACCCCTGGTGGTCAACACGGTGGCAGTGCCTGATGATCTGAGCTTCATCAGCAGCCATGGAGAGGAGGACTGGGACCCTGCCTACGTCATCCACCTGCATCCCTCCGTCACTATTCGCAACCTGCTGCCCTATTCCATCCGCTTCCTGCTGGAGGTAACGCACAGCACTCGCTGCGCATGGTGTGAACCATGTAGCACACCATCCGCTCGGACTCTTGTGACTTTCACCTGCGCTGAGGCACTGGCAAAGTCATCTTGCATCTTTTATTAACAGAACATCTTGCCCCCACGGTTAGCCAGTAGACCTTAGGTGAATATTCAGATTATTCAATGTGAATCTAATACTACCCTCGTGTTGTCCATTCGAATTAACAAATGGGCTTATAATCATAATATCCAGTTGCCTACTGGACTATGCACAATGGACATGCAGTTTGAAACTGGTTGGTTGGAAATTTCTAATGGTCATCTGCCCAGGGCTCCAAAGAAGGGGCCTAACATGTTTTCTTTGTGTTAGAGTGTAACTAGTAAACACTGTTATCCATTGCCAATGAAGTAGTGATTTTTCCCATTGTATATACAACATGCCTGTTTTTTTCAATATTTTAAGGACTTTGAAAGGCTGCTATAATTCGTTTTCTTTGTGGTGCAATATGAGAGGCTGAGGTTCATGCCTCTCCTCTGTGGTTTAATGTGGCCCCTAATGCCACATTCAGCATCAGTCTCCTCATTGTGCGGTGTCATGGTGCTTGCTGAAGCCTAGTGAAAGCGTTTTATTCTCAGGGGACTGCAGAGACCCACGAGCTGCAGGAAGGCAACTCTGCCGATGTGCTGAATGCCATGATCAGAGGAGAGATCATGGAGCTGGTGCTGATGAAGTATCAGGGTCGCAACTGGAATGGGCACGTGAAGATCGATCAGGGGATGGCGGAGTTCTTCCCTGTGTGTTTCACTGCCGACTCCATGGAGACCCTGACTCTGGACTTGAGCATTCACATGGCCCGTGTGAGTGGCCGCCTGGTCCTCTCCGTCTTCAGCCCCTACTGGATCATTAACAAGACATCCAGAGTGCTCCAGTACCGTGCTGAGGAGATCCATGTCAAACACCCCTCTGACTTCAGGGATGTCATCCTTTTCTCTTTTAAAAAGAAGAACATTTTCAGTAAGAACAAGGTATGGCTTTTAAGCGTCAGGGGTTTCCGGAAAAAAACAAATTTTTCTGTTATTGTTGTTTTGCTAACAAGAGACCTTTTGAAATCTTTCTTCCCATCACAGATTCAGCTCTGCATTTCCACTAGTACATGGTCCAGTGCCTTTTCCTTGGACACTGTAGGGAGTTATGGATGTGTTAAGTGTCCTGCAAGCAACATGGAGTTTTTGGTAAGCTGTTTTTTTGTCCATAAAATGTGAACCGTCCACCTGTTTTGTTTGATATCGCTTTTACAGTCAGCATTTAGCAGTCAGCCAGTCCTCACAGCCGTGGCTCTGTTACAGATTGGAGTGAGTATCCAGATGAGCAGTTTCAACCTGACTCGGATAGTGACCATGAGCCCCTTTTACACACTGGTCAACAAGTCAGCCTACGAACTGGAGGTGGGGGAAGTCCAGTTTGATGACACTGTGATGACGGGCAAGTGGCATTACATTGGATCAACGGAGGTAAGGGGAACGACTGACCTATAGAATAGCAGTAAACAAGCAAATCTGACCCTAATAATAATATAAACTTTATTTTATATAGCGCCTTTAAAGGTGGCTTCTCAAAGCTCTTTACAACAACAATAAATAAGAAGAATACACAAGATAAAACACAATTACAATATATAGAGGAGACTGTGGATGGTGGTACTAAGAAAAGCAGAGGGGTGAAGAAGGGAACCAGTTAAGTAGAGGCTTTTCTGAAGAAGAGGGTTTTGAGACTGGATTTGAAGGAGTTTAGAGAAGGTGACTCTCTGATATCCTTGGGGAGAGAGTTCCAGGGTTTGTGGGCATAACAGGAGAAGGCCCTGTCACCCATACAATGTAGACGGGCTTGGAGGACAGTAAGGAGAGCAGAATTAGAAGAGCAAAGGTTGCGAGGTGGGGCGTAGGGCGATAATAGTTCAGACAGGCACTGAGGTGCCAAGCCATGCAGAGCCTTATAGGTGAGCATGAGTTTTTTAAAGTCTACACGGAATTTGACTAGAAGCCAGTGCAAGGACTCCAGGATAGGAGTAATGTGATCATTTGCACTAGACCTGGTCAGGATTCTGGCTGCTGAATTTTGGACATACTGCAGTTTGTTCAGAGTAAATTTAGATACCCCAGCGAGTAGAGCATTACAGTAGTCAATTCGAGAGAACATAAATGTGTTGAACAGCATTTCAGCCACAGTTAATGATAGCATAGGGCGTAGTCTAGCGATATTTCTAAGGTGAAAAAAAGATGTTTTGACAGTATGCTGCACATGTGGGTCGTATGTTAAGCCAGAATCGAATATAACCCCAAGGTTTTTCAATTTTGATTGAAGCTCAAGTACAGAACCATCTACAGATAGGGTTACAGGACTGGCTTTACGTAGTTGATGGGGGCTGCCAATAAGCATGACTTCAGTCTTGTCACAGTTAAGATGAAGGAAGTTTTGAGCCATCCAAAGTTTTATGTCAGAGATGCAATTAGATAGAATAGAGACAGCCTCATCAGTGTCAGGTTTGGTATGGATGTATATTTGAGTATCGTCAGCGTAAAAATGAATGCTGAGGCCATGTGATCTTAAAAGTTGACCAATTGGGAACATGTAAATACTGAAGAGCAAGTGGCCCAGTATTGAGCCCTGAGGAACACCAGACTTAACAAGACCAATTTCAGACCTTTACCCATTAAGAGAGACAAAGTGACAGCGATCAGTGAGGTAAGATTTGAACCATTTGAGAGCAGTGTCAGAAACTCCAAACTCAAGACAAGAAAGCAAGATGTTATGGTCAACAGTGTCAAAAGCAGCACTGAGATCAAGAAGGATGAGTATAGAAAGAGAACCAGAATCAGAAGCTATTAGGAGATCGTTGGTGACTTTGACCAGGGCAGTTTCTGTGCTGTGAAGTTGACGGAAGCCAGATTGAAGGGGTTTGAAAAGGTTGTTTGTCATGAGGTGGTTATGTAACTGAAGTGTGACAGCACGTTCCAGAATTTTAGCAAGAAAGGGTAAGTTGGAGATGGGGTGAAAATTGTTACGATTGTCAAGAGCTATGTTAGGCTTTTTGGCACGGGGGTAATGGCCGTTAGTACAATGCCAGTGCTAATGGATTCATGTATAATATTGAGGACAATGGGACATTGAGAAGAGAAACAGGACTGAAATAAAGTGGTGGGAATGGGATCTAAAATAGATGTGGTGGGTTTCATGCGTGTAACTAGTTTAGTTTATTGAGGGATGCTGAGTCAAGAAGAGAGAAGCTGGAGAGAAGGGAACCGGAGCAGTTGGATGAGGTGGGAGGAGGTATGGAAATGATATGTGCAGTGGAAAGAATGTGATGCCGGATGTTGTCAATCTTAGAACTAAAGAAATCTAAGAATGTGTTGCGAAGTTGCGATGAGGCAGGTAATGTGGTGGGGCAGTTTGGCTTGAGCAGTCTGTTGATGGTGGAGAAAAGATGTCTGGGGTTGTTTTGGTGATTTTCAATGATGTGAGAGAAGTAGGTGGATCTAGCAGACTCTAAAGTAACCTTATTTTCAGATAAGTAATCTCTCCAAGCCTGATAATGTACATTTAGGCCAGAAAGCCTGTCTTAAACAGCACGATGACCTGAAATTTAAAATGTTTATGCAAATGTATTCTTTTTGCCTTAGTGCCTTCCACTGTGGCCTGAAACTTCAACTGGCAAGCTGTGTGTCCGGATTGTTGGCTCAATTGCATCGTCAAAGTCCTTCTTCTTCAATAAGCAGGATAATGGCACACTGCTAAGGATGGACGAAGTAGGTTTTTTCATCTATATAAGCACATTATGGCGCAGCACGCCAGTACAGATTCCTAATTGTTCATTGTAGGCAATCTTCCGAAGCAGAACTTTGCTAAGTGTAATGAGATTGTAAATGGTTCCTATCTCAAACAACACAATTGGAACAAACAGGAAAAAAGTTCAAAGTAATTCACTCGATTCAAAACTTGATTCAAAACACAATTTACAGAAAGTATTGTCTTTGAGCTCTTAGGGTCATAGAATAACACCACCACACTTTGTAATCTAATATCTTCAGCTTCAGCCTGTAAAAAGTGTTATCATATCAAGGCAAGTCTAAAAAAAAACATTGTCACATTTTCGTTGAGTCCTGTTTTGTGTATTAACAGTGTGGAGGGCTCATTGTGGATGTGAATATCTCGGAACATTCCACGGTCATCAGTTTTGCTGACTACTATGAAGGAGCGGCCCCAGCACTTGTTGTAAATCACACTCCTTGGGTCACCATCAAATACAAACAAAGGTAGGAACAATAATATTCTCATCCTTGCAGCTGGTCCTCTTCCTGCATCCACCACTACACTAAAAGATATATTGCTTGCAACTGCAGTACAGGTAATACAATTTCATAGATTTGCAATATCCTGTGGATGATGTGGTTATAAAAAGTTACTGTGCTGACTTGTTGAGGGCTCAGTCGTAAAACCTTGTGAGTTCTCTGGTTTCCTCTGTTTTTCTGGAAAATTAAAAGAGAAATACAGTGTTCTCACTATGTTCAGAAAGCTCCATTTTGATTTAAATAGGGACAACAGTGTATTTAAGGTTAACTTGGTTGTGCTTAATTAATTTTTGAATGTACCCCGGATGTGGATGTCTCTTTACAATAGTGCTTTGTGTTGTTCCTCTCCTCAGTGGTCTGTCTCAAGAGAGAGTGCTGAAACCAGGAGAGGTCCAGCACTTTGCCTGGGATGATCCAGCTGGTGTCAGGAAACTGAGCTGGAGCTGCCAGGAACAAACTGGAGAGCTGGACCTAGTGAAGGTGACCCTGATCTTAGATCTTAATGTGTTCTGATGCCCAGGAATGACAATGTGTCAGAAGCATCTTTGTTTGTTTCTGTTTTCTGCTTATGAATATACCTTAAATAGAAGGTACCCATCATTAATATTAATATTAACTAAGAGTATCTTACCCCTGAGTGTAGAGACACCTGAAGAAGGCTCCACAGCCGAAACGTTGTCTCTTTTCTTCTTTTTTCAGCATGGAATAAACCTTTGCTTGTTCCTAAGAGTGTCTTAGTCTGGATTGCTTTTATCAAGAAATAAAGTTGAACTTCGTGGTCGTATTGTACTGAAGTCATCAAATCGTGATGTGCACTGTAGATTTTTCTATTAAAAAGAACAAAATAAGAAAAACAGTCTCAGACAGGAGTTGATAAATAACATCTTTTTGCTAATTTCCTAGGATGAATGTGGCCAGTTTGCCTATGATAGCCAGACTCAAATTCACTGGGTGTCCTTCTTGGATGGCCGTCAGAGAGTCCTGCTCTTCACTGAAGATGTGGCTGTTGTCACTAATGCACGTCAGGCAGAGGAAATGGAGCAGTTTCAACAAGAGATCAGCATGTCACTTCAAAACCTAGGGCTGTCTCTCATCAACAATGACACCAGACAGGAAGTCTCCTATATTGGAATTACCAGGTGAAACAATGCTTGTTAAAAGAATGTTACATCTCTGCAGTTATTTCATTAATCTCTTTGATAAAGGCATTTGTATCTTTGGATCTGGAAGTGAAATTAGGGCTGTGGGCTGTAATATGCATGCTGTAAATCAGCAGATACATGCAAGGGCAAGTCTATAAGTTGTACGTTTATGATTTAAATCTGAACAGAATCATTACCAAACATTTTTTAAGCCCTGACATCTTGAGGCCTTAACTGTCTTGAAGGAGACTGCTGGAAAAGTCTGTCCTGGGAGTGTTGTGTGAGGACAATTAATGATTTGTCTTTCATGGTTTCCAGCTCTGGCGTAGTGTGGGAGATGAAGCCAAAGAACCGATGGAAAGCCTTCAAGCAAAAAAACATTAACCTGTTAGAAAAAGCTTACCAGAAGCATTTATCTACAGGTAGTGAACCTGCATGGATTAAGATAGACAATTTAGAGGTATGTGACTTACAGTACATCTCGTGTATTGTATATTATGTATTAATTTGCAAATGCAGGTGCACTCTTAAATCCAGATCCCAGGATCTTGGAAGTTTGGGGCTCAGAGGGAAATGCCAGATGCAGATTAGCCTGAAACCAGCTCCACATTGTGTTTGACAAGGGAACCATTGCTGTTGCAGTTTAATTCCGTATCTGCAGTTTAACCCCTAGCTATTCAGGATCTTTATAACTTTCAGCATTTAAATGCTTGAAGGAATTGTCCCTGTTTACATTAGGTAATGAATTGATTGAGTTTAATCAATAAGAACATGACTAAACTCCAGCATAACCTTTAATCCTTAAGAAGAGAGGCTTGCACCCTTCTGCACTAAAGTACACTACTTAAAAATCATATCCATTTAATTTTAAATAGCATATTTCATAACAATAGATTTCAAAGCACTTTACAGTGTAGATAACAACAGTAATCAGTAATGATAAATCAACAGTATTCGAATAGAAAAAGCACATGCAGACAGAAAAAAACAGTGTTTCCGTATTTGTTAGAAAACACAAGTCTACACATACTTGCACATCATGTGTTTTGATCAAATGACTCTAATAATTGGTATCTTCACAGCTACATTCTTTCTCTGTAATTTGCTGATAGGTAAATTAAATTATATTGTTTTAATCGACTTTCGCTAATAACAATATGAACCTTTCACCAGGTGAACTTCAGCAGGGTGCCAATGGTCATGCGTCTTCCGTTTGCTTGCCACATTAGACGGAACTTCCTGTCTGGAATTCAGGTGGAGTTCAAGCAGTCGCCACACCAGAGGAGTCTTCGAGCTCAGCTGCACTGGCTCCAGGTACCGATTGGCAGTTGGAAAGACTTGACAGCAGTGTGGTCCCATTTCCTACGTTTGCAGTGTGCTGCATTACACGACATGCTGAGTGCCTCTTATAGTTAAAGCTGGGACAGTTGGTTGGATCTTCTGTATGTGGAATTTGCTAGGAGCATCAAGAAAACTCGTAAGCACTCCCAGTGCCTGAGGCATTTACCATAGGCTTAGGGGGCCTGATCTGTTTTCAGAACTTCTCAAGGAAATACAGTCTAGGTTAAATCTCATCCTGAAAGAATGGAAGGGTGTGTGGATGTCGTTACCCTGCCAGATAGTGCCTCAGAATTGCTGGCAAACACAAAGCATTTTCCAGTGACTCGCCGACTTCACTTCAGTTGTGAGATTTGTGTCATTTCCTTTAACAGGTGGACAACCAGCTCCCAGGCGCTATATTTCCAATAGTATTTCACCCTGTGTCTCCTCCCAAGTCAATTGCCCTGGATTCAGGTGAAGTACCAAAACAAACTCTCCTGAAATCAGTAGTGCTTTCTTTGTCTCGTGTGTTGCAATGTGTTCGCTGACCTTTTCCCTTTTCTTTACAGAACCTAAGCCCTTTATTGATGTCTGCATCATCACTAGGTTTAATGAGCACAGCCAAGTAATGCAATTCAAGTAAGTGTGCCATGCCCCTTTTAAATGTAGACGAAGGACTTGGCAGTGAACAGACTGCTTTCGTATTCTTGGATTCCCTTGTGCTGCCACAGATCGGTCCTCTACCGCTGACAGCCCTGCTTTTGAACTTTTGTATTTTTTTCAGGTACTTTATGGCACTTGTGCAAGAAATGGCAGTGAAGCTTGATCAGGGATTCCTGGGAGCAGTCGTAGCCCTTTTTACACCTGCCACAGACTCTCAGGCTGATAAGCAAAAGGTACCTTTCCAGCACTCGGGGTTCTGTCAGTATTGGGGATATAGTGACGAAGTGAAAAAAGCTGGAGAGTACTGCCCTCTGCTGTCAGATTAGAGAACTACAAAAGTTCAGGCTTGCACAAAAATGTCCTAACATTTAGGGAAAAAAAGAAAGAAGAATTGTGAAAAGTAGTAGTATTGTGCAAGCAGTTAGGTCTACAAAAAAAGTATTGTAAAGTTTCTTGCACTTTATTTTAACTTGGCTTTTTTGTAAACCTGCTTTTATGAATTCAAAACCAGAACACAATGAGATGAGACCACCTTATCAGATTAGTTTCTGCTGCCATGAGAGGTCAAGATCCAAATCATCATTTAGCAAAAGCACCCAGAATTGCTGTTTATGAAAATTTAAAATTAGTTTGATAAATCTAAACTATTCTGTTCGTGCTGTATTCACAGCTAATAAATTGCAGTCCTCGAGTCTGTACTGCCTAAGTATTCTAATGTAATCTTTAATGCTTTTATTTTGGTATTTGACTAGTTTTAAGACCTTTTTTTAATTGTTCTGTAATATCATTTAACTATTTAAATCCCTATTCTGCTTGAGTAGGTGATGTTGTATAATTATGATTCACTCTTTATTCACTTAAGACCTACCACTTATTCAGACATAAATGCAGAACATCTTCTTAGAACCATTTTTTGTTTTTAAAAGAAACTAAGTTCTCTTCTAATATTTTCAAAACATTATTTTGTGACACAATTATGCAGAAATGTTCATTCGTTTTCTCATTTTGTGGGGTTGAATATTTTGATTTCATATGAAAGGAGAGAATTAATAAGATCAGATCACTTTATTGGCCACATACAATTTCTTGTATTAGGAATTCATCTTTTCACGTACCCCACCTTGCTCTCCATGAGACACACAGACGGGGAGAGAAGCTGGGGGTCAGAGCTTAGGGTCAGCCATTGTACGGCGCCCCTGGAGCAGTTGGGGTTAAGAGCCTTGCTCAGGGGCCCAATGGAGTAGGATTCCTCTGCTGGCCACAGGATACAAACCGGCAGCCTTCCATCCACAGGCACAGCTCCTGAGCCACAGAGCCACCGCCCTACTAACATTGTGAAGAACGTGAAGGTTATTGAACAGGATGTCGATCAATGCAGTGTATTTTTTGAACAGCCGTTATTTTATTTTATCTGAGGAGCACTTCTGACCTCAATATAGTTATTTACCTTGTGACATAGCCAGGGATGTCATAACTGGATTTTTAAAAACAGTCAGGACCACGTCGACAAACACACACGCACAGAAATAAGGTTTTAAACACCCTAGTATAATTTATTTATGCTGCAGGAAATTCAAAGCAACACACCCAAAACAATAAAATGACAGCCTAAGCTCTTCATCAAGTTTGTGCCTAAAGGTCTTCAAGAAGCCCCTGTCTAACACAAGCTGATGAACTGCTTACCGATCACAAAAACAAACAATTCACACACACAATTCTATCTCTTCACACAGTTTCCAAAAAAAACCCTACAAAACTTCTCTCTCAGAATCTCACTAAGTTCCTCCTGTGCCTGGTCAGTTCTCCAGCAGGCAGACATCCGTCATTTCCCAAGCACTTTGAAATGTAAGGCCTTACTCACAAAGTGTGGGTGCACTTGTAGGAGGATATGATAGCACTTGAGGGGCGGTGCGTTAATTTAGGGACATGTGTTTGACATGTGCACGCTTGCAGACAAAGCTCATCGAGAAGGATCTTGAAGCCCTAAAAGCGGAGCTCATGGAGACATCAATAACAGACACGTCAGGACTCAGCTTCTTTGAGCACTTCCACATCTCTCCTATTAAGGTGAGTTTGCTGTATAATTAGATCATTGGCACTTTTTCAGGAGCTTGTGTTTACACAGAATAGCCCTCGCTGACAAAAATGTCGTGAGCTCGGTGGCACTCTTGACATTAAAGCACAGCTTTGTGAGTTTGAGTCATATCCAGTTTCTACAGTTTTAAACATCTCACAGGTTCTTTAATCATATTCATATTTTTATTGACTGAGAATATGTTTTATTATTTGGCAGTACATTGTCATTGTATCACCACTACATGTACCCTGGATTCGCTAGAATCTCACATGATCTTGCTTCCTGAATGGTCCAAACTGTAAAGAAAAGCAAGTTGAGCCATAAAGGTTAGATGTCCATTGACTGAGGCATGCGTTGCTTGCCTTCGGCTGAAGCCCTGATCAGTTGCCAAAGATCCCCTGTAGCAAGCATATACAGTACTACATACTGGTGGTGAAGTAGTGAGCATTGCTCTCTTACAGCACTTGGGCCCTGGGTTCAAGTCCTGGGGTACTACTGTATCTGCCTAGAGGTTGCGCAATGTGTTCTCCCCGTGTTCGTGTGACACAAAGACATACTGGTACACTAGGTTAATTGGCAAATGGGAAAATTGGCCCTGGTGTGAGTGTGAGTGTGAGTCTGCCTGTGTGTGCCCTGTGATGGATTGGTGTCCCATGCAAGGTATATCCATCTTTTGCCCATTGCTTGGGAAGATAGGTTCCGGTTGCCCTGAGTATCCCCTGAATTGGATAAAGGATCAAGGATCAAGGAACTGGGCTGTTTGCACCTTAACAGCATCCCACCTCCTCGCTTGAGAGCTTTCTGTCTCACTAAGAGACTTCCTGTGCCGTATTTGCAGCTGCACTTGAGTCTGTCCCTGGGCTCCAGTGGTGAGGATTCTGACAAGCAGGACATGGTTGCTATTCAGTCCGTCAATCTGTTACTGAAAAGTATCGGGGCCACCCTGACAGATGTTGATGACATCATCTTTAAGTGAGTAATCCCTTGTGTTATATAAACCACTTATCATTACAGTAATTTTAATGCAGCATAGCAAAATTCAAAGCAAATAATCCCTGCTAGCTTGGAATACAGACTTACAATCTTACAATCATTTCTTATCTATTTAGCTGATGCATTCATACAAAGAGACCCATTTAGTGTATACAACAGGGTATTGTACTGCAGTGATTCAGGTGAAATGGGTGAAGTACCTTGCATATGAATATAACAGCAGTGCCCTGAGTGGGAATTGGAACCACAGCCTTCCTGTTATGACTCCATGACCCTATCCACTTAACAAAACTTTAATAGGGAGTAAAAGAAATGTAAAATAAAATGGCAAAAAAATCCCACTTACCTATACCATAGTTCCACAAAAATGTGGAAGTCCAATGAGTGTTTTGCCATTGTATATAGAGGGATTCTCTGTTGTGCAAAAATAAGCATTAATACAATTTCAAAAGTTAAATAGTAACTGGATGGAAACAAGCAACAATACAATTTACATTTGAAGAGTACTAGAGACATCTGCGAAAAACAGTGAGAACTAGAGTACATTACAGTGTACAATCATTTTCTTTCTTTATTTTGGATTTGATTCTCAGTACTGACGAACAGACGTTTTTTTTCCTTTTTTCGCATCTCTTTACATTTTTGCAGACTTGCCTTCTTTGAAGTGAAGTACCAGTTCTACAGAAAAGGGAATTTAATGTGGGCTGTGATTAGGCATTATAGTGAACAAGTAAGTTGTTGTCATACTTATCATGTATAGTCACATGAGGCTATTTAATTTTTCTTTTTTATATTTTTTTAAAATGTACTAAAATTTTATAATTCAGATAATACTTAATTCAGATAATTACCTAATCATCCTTTTCTTTGAACTAAAAGTGAAGAAGAAATACTGTTTTCCTTTGTTAAATCCATTTTAGAGATTCTAAGTACAACAAAAATGTTTTACATGTTTCTTTGGTTTTTATTTTTTAATTGGTATTTATGCTAATCTACACTTAAGTATTGATTACATTATCAGGAAAAAGCTGTTAATGCTTTGTGATTTGGCCTGAAAATTGAATAATAATTATTCAGATGTTCATTTATGCATGCCAGATATGTTGTTGTATATATTGTGAAAGTACAGTATGCCTTACATCATTCTGTGTCACTCATTGAATAATTTTTTGAGTTGGGAAATACAGTAAAACTCCTCCATGAAAGCTTTGCAGAAGTCATATCCCGATCGAGACGAAATACCAGAAGGAAGCAAATCGTATCTTGCATGGAGTGGAATGGTTGATTGGGTTGAGCTTTTTTTGATTAGTCCAGCAGCTGAGTTAACTCGGTTATTAACTCAAGAATCCAGGAAAGAATAAATTAATAAATAATAAGATATGCAGTCCTCCAGACTTTGAAGCTTTAAGCTATAATGTTCAGATACTATCAAGCTGTTTCTTTAATGCGGTGTCGTGTCATGTTTCTGTTTTGTGTTCAGTTCCTGAAGCAGATGTATGTTCTGGTCCTGGGTCTGGATGTTCTGGGGAACCCTTTCGGCCTCATCAGGGGCCTCTCGGAGGGAGTGGAGGCCTTCTTCTATGAGCCCTTCCAGGTGACTAGAGCAGCATCACATAGTCTCCCTTCCAGTCTTAAAGGCTTCTCCCTCCTGCAACTAAAGAACTGGGCAAAGGTGTTAAGTAGGTCTAGTGTACTAATAATAGCTTGGTCATATAACCATGGACAGTTATGTATCCCCACTCGTAATGATATAAAAAGATGAATAAAAAAGCTGGCATTACTAGACCCCAATCACCTATTTAGCCTTGTAGTGTTTTTTACATGATGTTGCGAAAGTATTCTCATGTTTTATTGTTACTTCAGGGTGCGGTTCAGGGACCAGAAGAATTCGCAGAGGGGTTCGTAATAGGAGTGCGGAGTCTTTTCAGCCACACTGTGGGTAAGGCTGACCTCCTGACTTAAAAAATAAATAAAATGCATCCACTGAATCCAGACCCACATTCCCCATTAAGGATCTTCTGAAGGATTGCCTCCCGTGTAAATAGCTAGCTTCTCTATGCAACTGTGTGCGAGTCATGAAAAATAACCTCACACTACAGCACAGTGCTGGGTTCCCATAGAACCTTGTCTACAGCAGTATGAACCCACAGGGCTGTTTTGACATTGATTTTGTGCTACTGACATTAATGTCTGTTCAAATAAAAACTTAAATACAATACCTCACACCATTGTAATTAATTGATATTATGAATGTTTTAATTAAACAAGGTGTTTTTTAATATTCCAGTTACCTTTTCTCTCTTTGGATGTGTTTAGTTGCTTTGTTTTGCACTGAAATCTCAGCAGGGTCACAAACCCCTGGGCTAAGTCTTCTGTCCGCCAATGTATTTCGGAATAGGAGGTGCAGCCGGGATGGTTTCCCGAATCACCGGATCAGTTGGGAAAGGACTGGCGGCCATCACCATGGACAAAGAGTATCAGCAGAAGCGCAGAGAGGAAATGAACCGCCCGCCGAAGGACTTTGGAGAGAGCCTGGCCAAAGGAGGAAAAGGCTTCCTTAAGGTAACCATTGCCAGCAAAACCATGGCCTTTTAGGAATATATTATGTGTTCTGTGTTTGAATAGAATGTTCTAGGTGAAGACAAAAAAAGTCTCTTCTCGGCGTTTTTATGTAGCACTAGAAATAAATGGCAGTGTGACTCACACACCTGAACGAGACGAGATAATCAGTTTTCACATTTTACTAGAGCTTTTCACCCGAACAAATGCCAAAGTGCTGGGTGTCTGGAAGCTCTCAAGGTGCAGGAAGAGAAATCTTTGTCATGACCTAGAGGGAAGCAGGCTCTTATAGGCAAAATGATGGGGTACTTGTTGCCTGGTAGCCTCATCAGGCCTCCATGGGAGATTCGCAATCCCTCCTGTTCCGGTTTCCCAGGGCAACCGAAGATTGTGAGCCACCACCCTCCTGGGCATAACACTCATCTGAAGGATGGCACATACTAGAACAGAGTCTCTAGTGACCATACTGAAGCATTGGAGTTGAATCTTGGTTCACAAGCAACAGCTACAGCAGCAGATTGCTTTTCAGGAGAGGTCTCCCATCCCAGTACTGACCAGGCCCAGTCCTGCTTAGCTTCTGCCAAGGTCATGTACAGGGTCATTTCCTCCTTACAGAATTTATACGCTTATCTTAAAATGTCCCTCAAGGATTGATTCATTTTGGTTACGGTTAAAGTAACAGATGTTTAAAATGTGATACACCAAAATTCCCAGACTGTGTGATTGCAGATGCTGCAGCTGCTTATTTAAGGAATAAAATCATTTTTTAGTAATGGTTTAAAAATTCCTAAAATATGAAATCGGAAATCCACTGTGATTTCCGAACAGAAATCTGTAAATGCAGAAAAAAACACAAACATGTTAAGTTTTGGTTAATTAACAAAGGAAAAAATATTATAGCTGCCACTACCTAAACATTATATTTAGATTGCTTACTTTGTGTATCCAAGCTGCAGTTTGTCCCCCTTCTTGTAAAGCAGCTTGTTTGTTTTCTACCAATTAGCAGGAATACAATCATGAATACCAGAGTGTGCTCTGTGAGACCTTTGTATTTTGATGTTATTTTTAGGCAATGCAAATGTCACCCAGCAAAAGCTCAAGAGTAAATATCATGTTAATATAAACAATGCGCCTTGCTTCTGTTTTTGTGTGTTGTTTTTAGATTAAAAATAACATGCACACCGACAGGTACTGAAACTTTCTGAGAGAACATTGCCTGAAGCACCTGGTTTATTCCGAACAGCCAAGATGTTACAAAGCCTCTGAATAATTTTGAAAAAATGCTTAATTTAGTTCAGTATTTGTGTTAACAGAACTTAACTGGACCTGGTTAACCAAATAAAGAAACGTAAAATAATTACATCTGCTGAACTGATTTGTTCTTAAACTTATAAGCTTAATATGTAGGACAGGTTTGCTTTAAAGATATTTGGAATGACTTCAACTTTTAGTGGAGTTTTCAAGCCTGTTGTGTCCTGTATTTCAGGCAGGTCTGTCATTAGGTATGAGAAGGTTAAGACTTTTTTTCTTTTCCATAAATATGGAAGAATAATATACACTGCTGTTGCTGAAAGCATGCTTCATTTAGTAGCATTGCTATTGTGAGAAATACTATGTTGCTTGCATCAAGAATTATTCCTAGTTTTAGGGGGTTGCTATCGCATAAGTTAAAGGAACTAGATCTCTTTAGAACAAAGGAGATTGAAAGGAGATTTGATCCAAGAATATAAAATCCTAAGGGGTATAAATAAGATCAACATGGGGAACTGTTTTAGTCTCGGCAACAAACAGGGACACAGACTCACAAGTGGAAATTGAAAAGGAATAAAATTAAGGAGCTCAGTGCAACAAATTCATCCACTTACATACAGATAATCAGACGTGATGACAGTGTGACATCATAGCTCCCCTTATAAATCCAACAGACGAGTAAAAAATGAAATTCATATTTTATAATATATCCAAAATATTCATACTTTTTACATTTGTGTAGAGGGTAGAAAAATCATCCACAAGTGTCTTTTTCACAATAAAGCAACAAGAAACATAAAATTCACAAGATGTTCAACCTGCTCCAGACTTCTGAGCATTCAAAAAGCACAAGAACATCTCTTCTTAACAAGAAACCATTTTTCATTAGCAATTTCCAATATTGTGTCACATCCACAAAGGGAAGAAAAAACGTATCAAACGGCATTCGATTATTCCACTGTACCGGAGAGTCGTGCTTTGAGATATGGTAATGCCATAAAACTAAATCAGTGTGATTTTTAATAAACTTGAGATTTTTTGCTGTAATGGGTGACATAAAAAGGTTACACCATTTGTAGAGTCAATCCTACAGGACACCAGAATGAATTTGGAATCTCTGCTGTGCTCATACTAAATGTTTTTAAAGAACAATTCTTCCCTATAATTCTTTTCCTAAGCCAGTGGTCTTGCGTAACTCTAATCATCCACATCTTATCTGTTTCAGGGGGTTGTTGGTGGAGTGACGGGAATCGTTACAAAACCTGTTGAAGGTAAATTTGCTCTTTTAGAGCATTTTAGTAATTCTTTGAATTGCACATTCTACAAACATAATAGCTTGTTCGTAGTCTAACCTACATGGGTATTTTTGTAGTTAAGTTCTTCTAAAATTGCTAAATTGCTTGCAAACATTTTTGTTTATCATTGGTTCCATTTTTAACTGGTTTTGCTCTTATCTGACTGGCAGGCAGCATTTTGCCTCCCATGGTTCTCATAAATCCCCCATGGCCCCAGTCAATCACGGAGTGCCTCAGGGTTCAGTCTTGGGCCCTTTTCTTTTTAGCATTTATATACTACCTCTCCGCCAAATGTTACGCAAGCATGGTCTTATGTTAAAACTTCTTTCCCCTCTGGTCTCCCTCCTATGTCACATACTGTATCTCTTGTTTGTGTGGCATCAAACTCTGGTTGACATCAAATTCCCTGAAGCTCAATAGTGACAAGACCGATATTTTACTGGTGGGCATATCACTCCTACGCTTAAGTCTCTATATTGGTTCCCTATAAAGTCGTGTACTATATTCAATATAAGATCTTGTTGCCGACTTTCAAAGCTCTAAACAATCTGACTCTGTCATACCTCTCTGAACTCCTCCATGTTTACACTCCACCCCATAGGCTCCCAGGCCGGTCCTATACTCACTGTCCCCAGGACTAAGTCCCAGGCTTTTGGGGACCGTGCCTTCTCTGTCACTGCTCCAGTGTAGTGGAGTGACATTCAACAAGCTTTACGAGAGAATCTTTAACTATCTTCAAATGTAAACTTAAAACTTACCTTTTTACCAATGTCTACATCTGATTGCCTACAGTACATTTTTCCTCACTTTGTTGTCTTGTTTTTATTCATAATGTACAGCATTCTTGGGATTGAAAAGGTGCTTTATTAATAAAAGTTATTATTATTAAAATTGTTGTTATTATTAAAATGTCATTTTATCAATCTAATAAATAGTCTAAAAGATGGATTATTCCCTGTCTTTTCTGTTATGAAAGTAAAGAACTGAAACTCAGAACTTTAGCTTTGATATTGTGAGCCCAAATGGAAGCCAATCTGAACAAAAGGGCCTGGCATAATTTATGTTTTGATATCCATGTGTTTATACAATTTCAGTTAATTTTTGTGTAGTTTTTCCCCAACATGGTTTAGTTTTAAGGGGTGGTTTAGCACAGAATAATTTCAGCCCTAAAAGAAGTGTAAGTGTCCTTTTCTCAGCGCAGAGCTTCCAGATTCTGACCCGGTCTTTGTTGGCGCAGGTGCGAAGAAGGAAGGCGCAGCTGGGTTCTTCAAGGGGATTGGCAAAGGCCTGGTGGGAGTAGTAGCCCGGCCCACTGGTGGCATCGTGGACATGGCCAGCAGCACATTCCAGGGAATACAGAGGTATGGATTCTTGGCCTTTGCACATTCTCACATGGTCTTCTCACACAGCAGGATTGCCAGTTCCAGAAGGAGTCTGGTCTGAAAGCCGAATGTTTAGGCAGATTCTAAATTTCTCTAGTGTCTGTTGTGTTTTGTTCTAAATAAATCAGATTTATGACTGGGTTTTACACTTTGCCTTTTTTCTTCAACAGCTTATTAAGCAGTTGTATGGATTACTGTGGAACTTTTAATATTTCCTGTGTTTGATCACTTAGAATTTGATCTGGATCTGAAAGGAATGATTGTTAATAGGATAGGGTCATGACTAATGTGATGAATGTAAAATTGCTTTTGGGGTCATGTAGTGGGGGCTTCGGCACAGACAGAGATGTTTCTGACTATGAGGTGAGTAATGTGTTATGAAACAGACCCATCATACTGTGCATTATTTCAATTATGTGCTGTACTGTACTTCAGTCGAAACTAATCAATTAAAAACATTTGCCTTTCCATTTATCATCACAACTGGTTTCCCTTTCCCTGCCTGGAGCACTTTTGAGCCCAGAGCCCAACCCTGAGGGGAGAATAGTGAGAAACTGGAAGTCCAGATCTGGGGAATCCTGATAAGTCTGCTTTCCATACTTCACACTGGTCTGTGGAAGTGCATTACAGTCTACCTCTTTACCAATTTCTTCTTTTTTTAATTTGGGAGGCAAAATTTACGTCCTCTTTTTGTTTAATTTGGCAGTTTTCTGAAAGCCAGTAAAGGGATCCGTTCTCGAGACTATCCAGCCATCTCCCCAAAACTGTTCTCCTCTCTCGGCTGGGCCTTCTGCACGTGATGCACTGCCCCACCAGGCAGACTGTGGCCTGGTGCAAAGCACTGATCCCAAATGAACCCAAACAGGTGCCATGCTAGAGTTCCATGGGGCACTTGAGCAGTTTGTACACAGAGAGAACGAAACTTGCCGTTTACTGGAAGAGTGCGGTGGGTTTATGTTTTTTCACGTTACTCTAGTGCTGCTGGCTCACATGGACGTGAAAAAGGGGCCTTAATTCTTTGACGTCCATTGAGTTTTGCTTTCAGCAATTTAGGATTTGCACATACTCATGCAGTCTTTGCTTTTGTCATGAGCTTTCCCTGCTGCTCTGTTTAACAAGTCACAGTTCTACACATTCCTGGTAACCCTGTAGTGCAAAATCAATTCAGCTTTATATGGTCCTTTCTCCTTCAATCATTACACACCATTCTTCCTGTAACTTTGCAATGCAATTGTAAATAACCCACTAAATTTATTATTCCATGCTGTCAAAATAGATGTAATGGAAGGTGAGCTACTGTAGCTTCTGGAGATGCAGCACATCTTCAAGCTTTTTAATTCATTAAATTCTTGTCCGTCTAAATGATTATTGAATTACAGTTTTGAATTGCATAATTTTTTATTTTTCTCATGCCGTTACCCTTAAAGGAAGTATTATTCAAATCTTTTAGATGATTGCAGAAAAAAAATCCTGCAAATTAACAGATGTGTTTCATCATGGTCAGTGGTTAATTAGTGAAAGGTAACTTGTTTTCTGTAATTGGGGGTGGCATCTCATTAGAAAAATATGGTGGTATGAATGATACTAAATCAAGCATTAAAGGCCCATGTATGAAATATTTGTACATTTCCAGAATGCAGAATTTTTGTGATTGATTGGCTTTGATAGGCTCTGAGCTTATTGTAAAACTGGCAGTGGAGAAAGCGCTCCACTTGTCTCTTCTACATTTTGTTTTAAAGATATACAAAGGTTTACTGGAGGGTCAGGTACGCATTCACTGTTCAAGCAAATCTGCAAGGACCAGTCACAGAACTGTGCGTCACGTAGCAGAAAAATTAAACCTGCTCACATAGATATGAGACGCTATATTTAATCTTATATTTAATTTAACAGTTATACATTGCTTAAATGCTAACATGAAAAAGGAAGAATGAATTTTCTTAGTTAATTCAGAAACTACTACAAACCAATAGAAGACCAACAAAGAAATGAGGTATAATAGTGAAGGGAAACAGCTGAACTGGAGCTCTTTTGGATCTAGTCCTCATTGCCAACGGAACTACCTGCTTTTGAATGGAATGACAAGGAGGATTCTGGGATTTCTCTTTGGTTGCTAGGGTGGCAGAGGCAACTGAAGACGTCACTAAGTTGCGGCCCTCTCGCCTCATTCGCGAAGATGGAATTATTCGGCCTTACAACCTGGGGGACGCGCAAGGATATGACTTATTCCAGGTAATTACCATCGTAATCGGACTTAACTTGCATTATTTATTGTTTGTTTTTGTTTGTTTTCCTGCCCCAGTGCCTTCTTCTTTTGGAGGGCTGCTGTCATAGCACCTCAGTTTTTCATTTATCATCCAGCCAAGTGCTTTTACCGTTAATCACGACGCAGAGACAGGGTCATTTGCCATTTTCAGATGTTGGTCTTATTACATATCATATTGTTTTGTGTGTGAGTTGTAGTTGGTGCAGCATAGCTCTGTTGTATGTTTCACTTTTCATTTCTCTTTTCACTTTTCATTTCCTGAGTTACCCTCAGTTTACATGGGAAATTGAAAGTAATTTGAATGTTACCTCCGGAACTTGTCAGTTATGAATTCTGCGCGGTGTTTAAGATGTACAGTATCCAAAGCAGTTAGACACCAGTTTTTAAAACAATTAACATTGATCTGCCTTTGTGGGACCTTTACAATGAACAATGTATTCAATGAGAAGGACCAGTGAGAACTGGAAACAGCCCATTATCAGAGCACATGTGCAAGTAGCAGTTCAGCGGTTTGACTGATCAGCTTTTAAGATCATCGAGAACAAGTGATTAAGAAAATATAACAGTATAAATATACTTCTGCAGATAACAGTTGTCTTATTTTCCCAGTATATCTGTAGAACCACCAGAGGCAGGTACAGTTCCTTAAGAGAGGTATCCCAAAGATTAAAACATTTGTATTTTAAGAGAGAAAATGTTCAAACTCATTACAAAAACTACTTTTATTGTGTACTTTGTGGTGGAAATACATTTTTTTTAAGAACAATAATAAATAATAAAAATAAAATTTTACCTGGAAATGTGCTTCTCACATTGAAGGGTTTTCGGCTGGACACTTGTTAAAATTACCAGAAACATTTCAATAGGAATAACTTCAGGACATGAAAAGGGGTTTTATGCATGTTGGACCAAGTTTAAATCAATGGCGCAATCCTCTGTCCAGGAAATTGCAACTTAGAAACTTGATGGTGTGTTTGCATTAGATGCAGGAAGAGTTCATAAGGATCATCAGCTGACAAAAGGTTGAACATAGTAACTGACATGTTTCTGAGTTCCATAACTCCAGTATTTGCAAGCTTTGCATATATTTTTTCCTTATTAATTCTTTGTAAAATGATAAAATAAGTGTAACACCTGATTTTCTCTATTTCTTTCTGCAGTCTAATTTTTGTTTGTTTTTTCTTTTCTCACATGCAGCATGAAATGGAATAATCTTTGCTAAGTAATTGTATTGTAGGTTATAAAATATTTTTAGTAATGCTATATTGTGCTAATGTAATAAAGCTTTTACCCCTAAACACTGTTCCACGATGTTTTGCAAATTGCTTTAAAGTTCATTGGAAAGCTTATGGTTGCCAGATGGCTTTAACTTATTGCTGAGTGTCAGTTGACTTTTGTTGAAAGAATTATATTGCATTTCTATTGACTGGTTTTTCAGATTAATTTTAAATCAAATGTGCTTTGTCTGACAAAAAACCTATTGTGATTTGTAGAATGAACAAACAATTAAAATATTCTTTACACTAACCTTACAGTATGTAAAGTTGCTGGTCTAAAGAATACCACCAACATTCACAGGGTTAAGAAATACATATCATACTTACATACTGTATCTTGTTCTTTTGTTAAAAAATTAAGCAATGCTTGTTTAATAAAAAATCCTATATAGAAATGAAACAGATATGTTTCAGAACAAGTATGCATTTAATATTGTACCTGACTGAAAATATAATCAGAGATGGTGTGGTTAGTTTGAATCATAGTTATTCTGTGGCAGAGGTGAATTTGTGGAATGTTCTTCACAGGCACACATGAAGAGATTGTGGGCAGATTCTTCTAAAATGTGATTGTCTAGAGTGCTATTAAAATACACATTGGCATTAATGTTAGAAAAGGTATTTTACTGTTAGTAGTATTGGTAGTGTGATACTTTGGCACAAGGATAGTTTTTATAATGGGTTGTTAAATACAGTTTTCAGTAAATCAAAGAACTGACTGAGGTGGTTCTGTACCAAATTCTGCGAAGAGTATTTTATTTTTCCTTGCAGTTTCCAATAAAGGTCTCATATACATAACATTAGGATTGCAAAATAAATGTATACTAATGAATCAAAGGCTAAAATTTTATTTTCTTACTTTTTTAGAATCTAAGGTTGTAAGGGTAAGCATAAACAGCATGACTACAGCATGTTTTTTTAAGATAATAAGATTTCTGAATCTGTTTATTTTCAACGGTCTTCTTTAGAATGACTTCAGCTTAATGTAGAAAAGTCTAAATCCATTTTAGGAATAAACTGTATAAGACATTTCCTTAGAACGAAATTCAAGCATTTTTTCATTGCCTTAATGCATGTGAACCTTTGTTTGTGATACCATAATCTTGTAAAGTGAATACTGTATTTTTGATGTACTTTATAATGTACATTTAACATCCTGTTTAAGGTCATCTTGAATAGTAACATAAAAATAAACCAGTCCATCTGATTTTGATGTTGTATGTGATGTTTCTTTGTAGTGCACTGAAGGAGAATCGGGGTGTATTAATAGATTAGTGCAAATGAGATATACAGTATATCTATCTGATGAAACAGTAGTTATTGTAAACTAATGTGAACATCCTGTTAGGACTAGTGTGTCTCTTAAATGCATTATATTCATTATATTATTTCATTGATTGTTGGGTCGCTTCAAATTGATTTCAAGATTTTAACTTACAAAGCCTTTTTTCTTCTAGGTACATTAAGATATCATTTTGCTAGAGTAATTCAAAACAAAACATTTACCATTGTTTGTAAGGAGGGGAAAAAACATTATAATGTGAGTAACAGGATTAAATTGAGTGGCATCTGAAAAATTGGATGTCAAGAATTAACTGCAAAAAAAAGTCAAATATTATTGGGGGTTCTTCAATACATTATTTCACAACCAGGAATTTAGTATCTTAGGTATCTCAAAGGTGATTGTGTCTTTATGTACCTCATACAAGCACACGTCCTGTGCTCTTTTCAGAGATCAGAGTTAAAACTGCCTGATGGCGAGCTATTCAGAGACCACTGTGTTTATCCAGGAAGTAAGAAAACAAACATCATTGTGACCAACAGGTAAGGATAAGTTTGTATTGTAAATGTGATTGACCATACTTGTACTGGAGGCTGAACTTGTAATGAGAATTTAGTGTAGTAATTGTCCATTAAAATTGGCTTATTGTGTGGTGTGTGGAGTTGTCTCTTAGGCACTCCTTGGAGCTGAACACTTTATGTCTTGTTAAAAAAAGATTAGATAAGAAATGTCATCTTTGTCACGTGAAACTAGTTTAATTCTTAATATATAGGAAAAAGGTCTTTCTACAGTAGGTAGAACATTTTGCACATTTTGTCTTCTAAATGTATTCTTGTACAGGAGCAACAGCCATTATGAAATGTGCTGCTTACTGACTATATTTTTCTGGTTGTTTTTAGACGGGTGGTGTGTGTGAAGGAGATGGACTTTGTGGGCCACTTCAGTAAAGAGTGGGAGTACCTGTTTGAAAATTTCAGCCGCCCTCCTTGTGTAAATGGAGGCGAACTGGAGATCTACTGCAAGGTATGAGAATATCTGTAGTTTGTATATAGTATATACAGTCAGTCCTCCAGAGAGCTTATCAGTAATTGGAAAATTCAAGTGTTATGTACAGTAGTATTCAGATCACTTAACTTTTTTTTATTTTTATTAAATTTAATCGCATCCAAACAGTAAAGGCACAAGTAAAACGTTTGGACGCAAGTTTGCTTTCTCAAAGGTTGTTTCTTTGAACTGTTCACCATGCATGATTTGAAATAAATTATTTTATTAGTAAATTTATTTCTTTGGAAATTAGAAACTTATTAGTCATACTAACAGAAACGAGGTCCTCGATGTTATCTGTCACAGGTTTCTGTTTGTATTAGTTAGGCTGACCTGTGGAAGAATTGAACATGGCTAAAGAGGTATTTCTTTGAAATATACAGGAACAAAGAATGATGAAAATCCAGAAGAAGGATGGCCAGGAAATAATAAGAAAAGTGCAGCTCAAAAGCCCCAGTGTTGCCCAGGTGAAGTACAGTAGCAGCTTGGTTTCTGTGAAATCTTCATCTCTTAAGAGAACATAGGGAGGATTCTCAGCACTATTAACTTCATTTTGGAATAAAATGATCAGATCTCTAATTTAGCCCGTTTAATTTAGCCCAGTTAGACTAAGTAGCTCAGGATGTGACTTATATTGGAATTAACTTTTGTCTGTTGTCTCCTTTGCATTACAGAAACTTTGCAATGCAATCGAAGATGCCCAGCTATCCAGAAGGCAAACTCAGATGGTAAAGCAGAAATCCCAGAGATTCCTGAAACTGAGCAGTCAGCAATGAATCGGGCTCTCCCCAGTACTGCCCCATGCGGATTTGCACTAAATCAGTCCTGATTGTTTGCACTTTTGTATACCAACCTAAATAATCTTAATTTCCACTTTAATGCTCTGAACAATGCTAAACTGACATGGATTGATTGTATGTTTCTTTTTTTTATTTTACCTTTCCATAACGCTGTCGTGTCTTTGTACGTTAGAAGTTTGCAATACGTAAATGGATGTTTTTTTTATATTGCAGTTTATAATTCTAAAGCACAGATGAGCCATTCTTGTGATTCTAGGCCTGTGCATCTTTTGCTGTGCTGCTTTAGTAAATCGGGGCTTTGCACAAGTAGTAATAAGTATGGAAAGAACAGTTCAACTATGCTGGGAGTGCTGTTCGTGTAACTGGAGGATGTACTACTTAGGAATAATACACACTCGTGCTTCTCCGGCATCTCTCAATTAAATGTGTTCAATATGTGAATCATCAATTGGATAGGTAAATGAGAGATAAACTGTACCCCCACAAGTTTTGTATTCCTTCAATTTCTTTCCCTGTAACGGTGGACTAATCTAACCACCATTGCACCAAGGAATTTAATTTTAGAAGTCACTGGGTACACATTGTTGTTTTATTCTTCTGAAAAGAAGTGATGTAAAACACCTTTGTACTGTATGTGATTATACATCAGGAGAGGAAGCCAGTCATGATTAATGTATTGGGCTTTCTGTGATAAACATGTTGTGTGCCTTAATGACTTTCTGTTTACATGATAAAGGGTTTCTGGCATGTAATTGTTGTTACAATGTTTTAGGTTATCTGAAAGTTACTTTAAAGATTTTGTTTTTATGGGGGAAGTGATGGCATGGAATACCAATCAAGGATGATAAGATCAACCAAAGAAAGGTTTATTAATTAAAGAACAAATGTCTTTAAACTACACGTCTGATCACATATGATTCTTTACTGTTCAAATAGTATTTTCCCTGGCAAGGAGAGAGTACAGTATGTGACATTGCAAGCTTAATGAGGGATTCAAAAAATAAAGTTAAATATTTTTTCTGTATTGATGCTTAAATCAGAATTTCAGTATGTACTTAATATCAAATAGTTAAAAAAATATGTTTATGAAAGATTTATAACCGTATACCTCAAAAAGAGAGCTGTGTATAAATGAGGCTTCTTGTTTGCAACATTTTCAAAGGGTATTGAAATGTCTTTCCCTGCAAGTCATTTGGGAAACCAGTATGTCTTATGCATACAGTAACTTGATATAATTTTGCTAAAATAACATACTGACATACGGCATGACCTAGTAATACTGCTAGAAATAAGAACTACTACATTAACTGTGTAAAATTCGGAATGTGTTGTATTTTATCACACATATGATTTGTTTAAAGAGTGACCATGGGATTTTCACCTTTTTGACATAAAAAATGTAGAAAAAGTTAAACGATGCCTAATTTTCTAAATAGAAAACATAAAACTAATTTAAGAACACTGCCTAAGATAGTTTTTAGTCCTCATTGTGCTTTGCAAGTCAGTAAAACCTAAACTCCTTAGTGTACACAGTGCTTTAAATAGGACAATTTTGGCTTAGTACACATGCATCTTATAAGTCGACAAGTTTATTTTTGTAAACTTCAATTTTTCAAGTCTCCTTATGCGTCAAGGTGTCTCCTTGAGAAAGAGGACAGAAGAAGAGTTTCCAAAAGGGGTTTAAAAACCTGGAAGATGGAAGACGGCTTGCCGAGGAGCAAGGAAACAATTCTGCCCTGCAAAGATAATGATCACCAGTAGATGGCATAGTGTTACTTTGCTGAGAGAGTGGCAGAACAGCACAAAGCATTTCCTCTGAATGCTGTGGTACAACAACAAAAAAAAAGCTTTTCTGCAGGGGAGAGGTTGATAACTGTTCCAAGATGCAGCGAACAATACAGCCGACTGAAACTTGAATAGAAGTGCAACTTAGTTCACTGTCTTGTGTACTCCCTGGGCTCATCACAAGAGGTATTTCTGGGAAGTGCAAGATCCAGAAAGGGCTGCCTCAGCAGAGGGATCAAACCGTTGAGATAAAGAATGTCAACATGCACTAAAGGAGAAGAAAGGAAGAAAAAACAGACCTATATGCCACCCTTGGGAAGTGTCTATGAAGGGGGTTGTGAAACCAGACAAGATGTGATTTTTTAAGGATAACATTAATCTCTTACTATTTTATTTCTAACAGTAGTGTACTGCATGTTAAAAAGCATGACGAACACATTGGCCTTCACATTTTTTCTTAGATGCCAGCTTTCCACGATGGAGGATGGAGCCAGAAATAGCCAGTTGCAAGCTGGCACAATCCAGGAACTGGGCGCTGATCCTAGCCTGTGCAGGACTGCTTACGACACAAAAATGTCAAAGTGAACCTGGGCCGTGACGCTGTGCGTTTCGTCTCGGGGATCGTTACATGTTTGTTTTCCTGTCACCTCATATATGACAACACAAAATCTCCTTCTTGTCACAGGAGATTTGTTTTCAAAATATCCTGAAAGGTCAAGCCGGCGTGTGCCGTTTACCATCGGATTCCCGCACGCACACACTCTGAGTTGAATTATTGGGCAAATTGGCCTTTTAAAAAAAACTATAAAAACATGTATGTTATATAATAAAGATTGGAATTGAATAGCTTATCGTTAAAAAGCAGGGTGTATTTCTAAAAATAAGATACCAGGACTGAAACGGATGGATCATGTGACATACTGTACGTAGTGATTTCTTTCATTTCATACAGTCAATTCAGACTAGTGTGGTACCTAACACATGGGTTGCCTGTTGCACTGGATTAAAGGTGGTTGCCATTACAAATGAGAATGCAGTTGCAGATTCGGGTATGGTACTACTAATTATCGGTTGACCTGGGTTCCAGGAGACTAGACATTTTTCAAACCTGTTCACTGGACTTGTGTGTTCAATTGCTTTGTAACTAGAATGGTGCCCATATGTCTGTATTTCCTGAAATGAAGTCTTAATGGCTGGTGAGCTTCATTCAGCAGCATGAGCCTTCTTAAGTGTTCGTGTCCTTCTCCACTTGAACTGATGTGCTTTGCAATGATGGAACTGATGCAAAGTGACATGCATCCCCATCACGAGACGATTTCTGCAGCTCAGCCTTGCTTCCCTCACTGTACTGTTTTTGTTAGTGGCTATTCATGCGGATAATTTGCTAGGATGCAACAGAGAGCTGTCACAAGGACTTGGCTCAAGGGGTGTGGGAAAATAGCAAAAGCATCTTCCATACTCAGCTCCAGCAGACATGACGAACATTAAATATGAACGTCTTTTTTTTCGTTAGCGATGCATTAAGAATCTACTTGATTTTTTTTCCCCTCATTTGAGAGTAATAATTAATTCAGACGGTAAGGCCCTGTAAGGTCCTGTCTGCTTTGTTTAAAAAAAACATTTTGTGCTTTAAAAAATCTTCAATACCGCCATGGAGAGCTTCTCCTGTGCCGCTTCACAGTCGTAACAAAGAACGTTACATAATGGAGCTTCGCCATCTTTGCCTCATGCCTTTCGCCATCTCTCACTGAAACCGGATTGCACATGAGCTCGGTCTGTCTTCCACAGCTCCCCACAACTGCCTGGATCCTTCCTTCCTGAGATCAACACAAAGGAGCAATAGCTTGTGTAGTTTCCAATTTCATGATTCCTTGATTTAATTGTGTAGGTGGCAAAAAAGAACGCAATAGAATAATCACAGTTAGTCCACTTGTGCTTTGAAGATTTTACAGGAATAACAGAGGTACTGATGCTACCGTGTTCACAATCGCACAGATCAGACTGTAGCATTGATCTTTAGAACTGTATTACCCTTCAGTCAGGCCATTGCTGCTCTCCAGATGAAAAGCAGGCTTCATGACTGAAGCATTGGACCATTTTAGTAGCCTTTGTTCCCATTTTGTATTTTAAACACCTACAGAATAATCCACATAAAATATACAAACACATAGATAAGAATCTGACATTTAAATGAAATTTTAAAAAGCAGACAGATCATTTCACTTAGTAATATATTTGGTCATACAATAAAGTACCAGTACAGTTCAAGTGTGACACCTACAAAAAGGGTGGCCTGTGCCACTATGGTAGTGGTGTTGGACTTTAAAAATTAAAATGTCTGTGGCTGCAAATTCATCAGTGGCCCTGTTAAAAGCTAAAACAAAAGGTATATTAATTCATAAAATGTTTTGTGTGATAGTGGCCTACAGGACAATGTGAGCTTTTAAAATAGGAGTGAAATTTTATTGAAATAAGTACTGTATGATTCAGAAAAATAACTGCCCTCAACTTTGATTAATAATGAAAATATTACAAACTGAATAAGAATGTTGGGATCTCCCAAAAATAGTCTAACCCCCCCCTGGGCCCTCCAGCTAAGGACTAAATGACTTTGCCTGTTCTAACATCTGTGTAAACCTCCACAGTAATAACCAACCCCAGATGAAGTTGGAGCAGACACTACTGATGTTCTCCAAGGAGGAGCCATTTTGGAATACACTATGTGCACAGATGTTGTATATTAAAAGCATTGTGGTTTAAAAAAAAACATTATCTCCCCAGGTTTCACCTGTGCTGTCATCCAGTGAGGTAACTGAAGTGTGGAGGATGAATATCATCCAAAAAAAAGGAAAACTGAGGCAGAACAGGTGAAGAGAAAATGAACAGGCAATAATGTCGAGAACAGACAGCTAGACTTACAGCGCATAGTTTGTGAGCAGTGGTTTTGGTATGAATACAATTTCTGGACTTTTGTTTTGTTATACATAGTTCTCCTTCTAGTCATTTTTTCCTTATGCCACGCTGTAGCTTTGATGTCTGTTTGAGACTGATGTGTGTTTCAGAGGTTCAAGCACCTCCAAATACTGGGTGACCGAGAAAAGAACATTTAGTGAAGTGCTGGTCAACTAAACCTCAGACCAATGCTTAAATCAATTTTTATTTTTACATAGTCCTTGAGGTACTGTCTGTAGCCACACTTCCAACAGTTACTGTATGTGTGAGAAAATTGAAGCAGGAAAAGGTCATCATATTCAGTAACCAAAGCAGGCCTGTAGCATTGTGTCTGGTCCCATTCCTTACAGATACTCCCTGGAAAGAGGGTTAACATCTACACCACTCCCAAGTACCTGTTTCCAGGTTCTGTGTGTTTTCATCAGTGTTGACAGCTGTCTTGCACTGAAGACAGTCCTGCACTTTTTCCCATGCTTGGATTATTTTCATATTTTCTGATGGAGTCTTTGACGTCACGACTTAAGCACCAGCTTTAAGGACTGCTTGGACTGTCCCCTATCCTGCTGTCATTTTGAAGTGTTAGTCCCAGTGCTGTTATTGGTCATGTCTGCCAAAAAGTCAAAAGATGTGCTGTATTTTCTAAATGGATAACTCCCTGTTATTTTTAATAACTTTTAATTAAGCTCCTGTTTTTGCAGATGATTCCAGAATTTTACAAACATGTTGCCCCAAAAAACAGTTAAAACAGTTAAAAGTTAGAAAATGATTAAGCATTGCTCTGTGGGTTGTTGAGGAGTTTGTATTAAGAGTATTGCTTGAGGCCAAACATACGACAGCGTCTACATACTGTAGCTGGCCTCAGAACAGCTCTCTTGTCATGGCAGTATATTTTAAAGGAATGGCAGTAAGAGACCAAGAATGTGTTACTTGAATTTTTAAAATACTATTACAAAAATGCTTTCCAAAAATGGGTAGTGCTTTCTTCCACCACCATGAAATACTGTATTTAAAGCATTTTAAAATCAGGTTCATCAACCGATTCTTTGTCTACAGCTGTTTTTCAGACCTAGACATTCCTGGTACGCTCTATCAAAGAACACAGACGTATCTGTTAATTAAGGGTGTTTTAAGTATCCACAAGATGGAGTTATTGACTAAAAAAA